TAGGTGGTTTTGTATGTATAATATTATGCAATACTATGAACTATTGTTTCACACAATGCTTCCAAATGCAAAAAATATTGGCCCGTGTGCAAAAAAACAAATTGCACGAGATGCACATGAAAAACCCAATATTCACATGCAGCATTGTGTGTGAGCCCTTTAAAAGCATGTTTTCAACTTAATGTGCAGTACATGAACTGTGAAACGTCAATCTGTCGTAATTTGTTGTTGGACGTGTGAAGGAATCGAGCTAGAGATGCCGAGACTTACTGATAATCAACGGAATGAAGCCATGGGAATATCCAGGGCTGGCATGTCTACACGTGCTAAGACACTTCAATTGTCATCAGTCAACTATTGTAAGGTTGGTGGAACGTGTTCGAGTTGCTGGATCAACACGTGACCGTCAACGTCCTGGTCCACAACGCGTTACAACCCAGACTCAAGACCGCTACATCCGTTTCACTGATCTGCGTTACAGATTCTGCCCAGCGACTCGAACAGGTGCAGCAGTCGTCGGAAGACAAGGACCAGTAAGTGCCAACACCGTAAGACGTTGTCTAAGAGAAGTAGGACTCCGTGCACGATGACCTTATGTTGGAGCTATCCTCAGGGATCATCACCGTCAGCGGCGTTTGATATGGGCTGAAGGACACCAGACATGGAGAAGAGTAGACTGGCAATATGTGCTCTTCAGTGATGAGAGTCGCTTTCATCTTTATCACGCTGATGGCCGTCAACGTGTGTGGAGACGTCTTGGGGAACGTCTTGCAGACTGCTGCGTCTTCGAAACGAATCGATGGGGTGGGGGAAGTGTAATGGTGTGGGGAGGCTTCACATTTCATCACAGGACCGCCCTACACATTTGCAGGGGTCACGTTAATGCTGTAGCCTACCGTGATGATGTCTTGCAACCAATTGTTGTTCCGATGTTTCGAACGCACCCACAACTTCAGCACTTCCAACAGGATAATGCACGCCCGCTTACCGCCCGATACAACATGTCTGGGATGAGATTGGACGCCGTCTGTATCGGAGACCACAGATACACACCATTGCTGCTTTAGAAGCTGCTCTTGTCCAAGAATGGAACAATTTGCCCCAGGCCTTCTTTCAAACATTGGTTAATTCCATGCGACGTCGCTGCACAGCGTGCGTAAGAGCCTGTGGAGGACACACGCGCTACTGACATCTGTGTCATACTTTTGGTTTTGACCCCTCTGACTTTGTACCGTTGATTACAGATTAATCATCCATAAGTGTACAAATGTGTTGTTATTGATGTGTTCCCATTTGAATATTGTTCACAATAAGAAGCAAAATAAATAAGATATGTTTACAGGATCATTTTGTTATACGAAAAACTAAGTGATGCGTTTTCCATGGCGCTCAGTATATAAGCAATGGCAAGCTTGCCAAAATGTCACAAAGTGACCTCAGGTTCTTTAACTTAATTGCCCCCTTTTCCCAATTTCCAGCAAACAACACACTATTTAATTAATTTTCAATATATGTATATTATTATAATCAATTTACATATACAATTTTAGAGGTTTTTACAAAAAATTCAATGTTTTAAAGTTACAGTTCATTTCGGCATCTAATACTCTGTTCCTTTAATTCAATCAATCCTCCTGGCTAGCATTCAGATTAATTTCCTTGTCCAAATTCCACCATCCCAGACTCGTAGTTTTTTTAAACACTTTAAACCCGAACACAAATCCTCGGAAATTCAAAAAACCTTCACATGTCACAGATCCACATAATTTCATGATTCACCTAGACTCACTACCTATATTGAAATTCACCAAGATTTAAATATACTTGACCAAGACTACACAGGCATATGATTCACAAAGTTCACCAAGACTAAACTATTGTAATTTACAAGGTCACCCCTGGATTGAAATATCGGTCACCTAGACATTACCAGATAAATGCTATTCATCAAGGATACATCTTATTTAATTACCAGGTTCTAAGCATCTAAAGCCAGTCATTGGTGTTACTCAGTTACTGTAGATATTGAAAACAGTCATGTCTGGTCTTTTAAAGTCTCTCTGATCTAAATACCGGTAGAGGAAACAGCCATGCCTATCCTGTAACTTATTTCAAAACCTCTCTGACAAACTTTTTAAATTCGTACACCAAGAAACTTTTAGTCACTCACACATCCAATCAAAACTATGCACCACATGCACATGCATCACAACCCAAACAGATTCATTACTTTACACCCTCATTACCTAACTTGTTAAAACATACCCACAATCATTCTGTAAAAAACAACGCATATACATTGAAAATAATTAAACTTTATTAACCAAAACCTGTACAATCATTAATAAATGTTTCGAAAAGAAATTAATATTCCCTTTAGCCATCTACCAAATTAATTAGGTACCCTAAATCACCGAAATAAACCATGTCACAATTATACATACCAAATGAACATACCAATTGTGACAATAACGTAGGCCTTTACCAGCATCTGTACTGCTGGAAGTTGCTCGGATCAAGAGCGTTTGACTTCATCGCCATTTTTCCCTAAGATCGCTATTATGGCCCCTGATTGTAGAAAATATTGCGTTTTTAGCTTGTGAACCCTTTAGGTCACAGTTTTTATCCGATTTATAAAGCAGATTAGATAAATCACCGTTACACCGTAATCAAGGTTGAGGTCGAATTTCGTGAAAATTGGACGGAAACTGGACAACGAAATGGCCGCTCCACATACACAAATAGTGTGAAAGTATGTGATACTAATACCAAGATCACAATTTGTATCTGATTTTGATGAAACTTAAAATTATGATTATATCCCAAAGATCTGGGTTCCTTTTGACATATTCATGTATCGGACCAAAACTTCCTGGATTATGGCCTCTGATTTTAAAAAAAATCACCTTTTTATACGCCAACACGGAAATGTGGTTGTATATTGCCGTTGTCCCAGTCTGTCCATACATACATCTGTCGTCTACAATTTCTTGTGAACACTCTACAACTTCTTGTGAAATTGATATATTGTTTACATCAGTGATATGAAGAAGCCTATTTAATTTCAATAATTTCCGTTAATTTCTTCTGGAGTTATGGCCCTTGTTTCACTTTGATGAACCTTGTAAACACTCTCACGACAAAAGTTATCATCTGATCTGTATGAAATTTATATGCGTCATAGAGATTAGTAAGACGAAGAAGCCTATTGAATTTAAGCAATTTCGGTTGATTACTTCTAGAGTTATGATCCTTGCAACATTAGTAAAACATAAAAGCCTGTCGAATTTCAACAATTTCTGTAAATCACTTACAGAGTTAAGGCCCTTGTTTCAGTCCATCCGTCCGTCTGTCTGTCACACTTTTTGGGACACAATAAATCTCTTTCTAATTGAGCTAGAATGTTCAAACTTGGTGTAGGTGTTTTTTTAAGATCAATGCCTTGATGGAGTTTGAAGATGAGCATTTTCTGCTTAGGGTAAGTAAGCAGAGATAAGCAATTTGATTGATTGATGCTTTGGGACACGATAACTTTAGTTATAATTAAAGATACATTATGTAAGATTTAGATAAAGAACTAGCCATTCTTGCTATAGTAGTTCGAAAGTAGATGATGTAAAATGAATAATTTGAAAATTTCATTCAAATTACTCTATTGCAAGCAAAGATATTAGCCTTTAAAGGTTTGACAGACGTGTGCAATAATTTCAACCACCGTACTGGTTGATCGAAGCCAAGTCTCGGTCCTCCATATTTGATTAAATCAAAGTATCGCTGAACCATTCTAATCTATTTAATATCGGAGAAATCTGATGCCATCGAGAGTTGATTAAGGCCCTGATCAGTTAATTAATGTCTAATAAATACTTTAGAAAACATTTCAGGCCTAAAGGAAGACCTGCCATAGGCAGATTTAGCTCTTGCATAATGCATGTTTAAGTGAGAGGGATAAAATTTTGTGTATAGTTTTATTACATCAGTACTTTGACTAAGTTCTATAATGAACATTTTCTGCTCAGAGTAAGCCGAGCAATAAGCAATTTGATTGGTCGAGACTTTAGAACACAATAACTCTCATTCTAATTGAGCTAGAATGTTCACACTTGGCGTAGGTGTTTATTAGGTGAATGCCTTGATGGGGTTGGGAGTGAGAAGATGAGAATTTTCTGCTTAGGATAAGCAGAGATAAGCTATTTGATTGGTTGATGCTTTGGGACACGATAACTTTAGTTCTAATTAAGTGAGAGTGATGACACTTGGTGTATAGTTTTATCACATCAATACCTTGACTAAGTTCGATAATGAGCATTTTCTGCTTAGGGTAAGCAGAGTGATAAGCAGTTTGATTGTTCGAGACTTTGAAACACAATAACTCTCCTTCTAAAGTTCTAGTTGAGGTAGAATGTTCAAACTTGGTGTAGGTGTTCATTAGGTGAATGCCTTGATGGAGTTCGATGATAAACATTGTCTGCTTATGGTAAGCAGAGATAAGCAATCTGATTGGTTGATGCTTTGGGGCCAATAACTTTGGTTTTAATTAAGTGAGAGTGATGAAGCTCCGAGTATAGATTCATTATATCACTACCTTGACTAAGTTTGATGATGAGAATTTTCTGCTTGGGCTACGGATCGATAAGCAATTTGATTGGTCAAGACTTTGGAACATAACAACTCTGCTTTTAATTAAGGTAGAATGATTAAACTTGATGTAGATGTTCATTAGGTGAATGTCTTGACTGAGTTCAATGATTAGCATTTCGAGCAAAAGCTAAACAGAGGTAATCAATTTCATTGGTCGATGCTTTGGGACAAGATAACTTTGATTCTATCTGATAGACAGTGATGAAACTTAGTGTATAGTTGATAATCAGTTTGATTGCTTGATACTTTTGAAAAAAAAAAATGTGCGATTAATTAATATGTGTCATCTATTTATTTTTGGATTTCGGTGGGGACATCAGCCTGTCTGTTGGCTTGTTTCATTTCATTTTACATTTTAGGAAACTTCAACATTAGAAGTAAATTGTTTGGTGAAAGTAGATGAATATGGGTTTTTCATCTACTGGAAGAGTGATGGCAGGGTTAGTATTCTATAATATCACCAGTTTGAAACATCATTATTTTAGTTCAGCTTAGTTCAGCTTTGTTTTTCCCCATATTTAAGGTTTGCTATATTCTTGACTGAGAAAGTTCCTCAGAATATTTTGGCCTCTTATCCCCTTATGTAAATACATTCCGTTCATCCACAATTTGTTTGTGGACACACTCTTTTCAGGTCACAAATTTATCTGATTTTGATGAATCTTGAAATATAGGTTTATCTCCCAAATGTCTCAGTTCCTTTCGATATTGGCATGTATTGGATTATGGCCCCTGATTATACGAAAAGTATATGGTATATCAAGGTTGTGGATCCTCTAGGAGTCTCAATTTTGATCCAATTTTGATGAAACTTTAAGTATATCTTTTTAACCTAAAGATCTTGGTTCCTGTCGATATTCGCGTATATCGGATCGTAACTTCCTGAATTATTGCACTTGATTGTATGAAAATCGCTTTTTATACGCCCACATTGAAATGTGGTTGTATATTGTCGTCGCCCCGGTCTGGCCGGCGGCCCGGCGTCCACAATTGCTTGTGGATGCTCTAGAGGCTAAAGTTAATATCCGATTGACTTTAATCTTATACACAGTGTTTAAGGTCATGAGACGAAGAAGCCTATTCATTTTCAGCGATTTCCGTAATTACTGCCAGAGTTATGGCCCTTGATCACTTGTGGACGCTCTAGAGGTCAAAGTTAATATCCGATTGACTTTAAGTTTATACACAGTGTTTAAGGTCATGAGACGAAGAAGCCTATTGATTTTCAGCGATTTCCGACAATTACTGCCAGAGTTATGGTCCTTGATCACTTTGAAAAATCTTGTGGACGCTCTAGAGGCTACAGTTAATATCCGATTGTCTTTAGATTTATACACAGTGTTTAAGGTCATGAGACGGCAATTTTCGATAATTACTGCCAGAGTTATGGCCTTTGATCACTTTGAAAAGTCTTGTGGACGCTCTAATTACTGCCAGAGTTATAGCCCTTGATCACTTTGAAAAATCTTTTATACGCCCATATAGAGGCTAAAAGTTAATATCCGATTGACTTTAAATTTATACACAGAGTTTAAGATCTTGAGACGAACAAGTGTATTGATTTTCAATGAATTTTTATGACTTGAACAGCTAAATCCATGATGTTAAATGTTTCGTATACTAAACGTTAGCATGGGGCAGAACTTTATAAAAACCAAACAAATTCTAATGGTTTTCTGATAATTACTTAACACTGTAACCCAGGTATCGTTTAATCTTGTGTATCTAGCACTAATTTCTTTCACATTCGTTTAATATCAAATCTTTGTTTAAAAATTTGTAAAAACTGTTTAAAATCACCAAATATCATCTAATTTGTACATGTGTCCAGTTTAAAGCTGACTGATTAATTTTGATAATGAGTGTCCAATTTACAAGTATTTAATTTCCTGATCACTGTTCAAAAATTAATCATTATACATCATTAATCAATTGGGTTGTTTATTTTTTAACAATGATTGAGAAATTAAACACTTGTAAATTGGACACTCATTATCAAAATTAAATGGTCAGCTTACAGAAGTACAAATTAAACGATTTATGATGATCTTAAACAATTTTTACAAATTTTTAAACAAAGATTTGATAATAAACGAATGTGAAAGAAATTAGTGCTAGATACATGCACACAAGATTAAACGATACCTGGGTTACAGTGTAATTATACATAAGAAGGGAGCTAAAGATGATCCGAACAATTATAGGCCAATCTCAATTCTCCCCACAATTTCAAAAATATTCGAAAGGCACTTGAGCACTCAAATTCAAACTTATTTGGAAACCTTCAATGTTCTTTATGCTTACCAATCTGGATTTAGATCAAATCATTCATGTGCTACTGCACTGATCCGAATGACAGATAATTGGCTTGATGCTATCGATAATGGTGCGATGAGTGGTATAGTGTATCTTGATTTTAGCAAAGCATTTGATCTCATTGATCATAAGCTTATTATTGAAAAACTACATCTTTATCGATTTGATAATAATTCACAAATTTTGATTGAATCATATCTTGACTCACGGAAGCAAAAAGTATGTTTAGGATCAATTACCTCCTCAATTACTACAGTCAAATGCGGGGTTCCACAAGGTTCGATCCTGGGTCCTCTCCTATTCCTAATTTTTATAAATGATCTCCCACTCAATATTGAATCAAGTCAGATAGATTTGTTTGCTGATGACAGTACCCTGCATTGTTCACACAAAGATATTTTATCCATCGCCAAAAATCTCCAAAATGATCTCTATTTGGTTGCTAAATGGTGTGAAAACAATGGGATGGTAATCAATCCTTCGAAAACAAAATCAATGCTGATTTCAACAAAACACAAAAGAAATCAGAAAAACCTAACTTTATCACTCCATGGTGAGAAAATTGAGACGGTTACTACCGCAAAATTACTTGGAATTCAAATTGACCAAGACCTTAATTGGGAAGCACAGATAGCAGATATGTCTAAAAAACTTGCATCAAAAATATTTCTCCTAAATAAGATAAAAGATCATTTACCTTATGAGACAAGAATTTTGTTTTATAACAGTTACATACTACCAATATTTGATTATTGCTCTATTATTTGGGGAAATGCTACCAAAAGTAGATTAGACATTCTTTTAAAATTACAAAAGAGGGCAGCAAGAGCTATTCTTGATGCACCGATTGAAACTCCGTCCACCTCTTTATTTACTAAACTCGGTTGGCTTACCCTTACACAGAGGATTCTTTACAATAAAATTGTCTTATCATTCAAAATTATTACATTTAATACTCCACTTTATCTAAATTTCCATTTTATTGAAAAATCTCTTGTTTCCAAAACGGATATCTTGCTCCGTTCACAGACCAGTAAATCTCTTTTTCTTCAAAAATGCAAAACGGAATCCATGAAACGTACTTTTCATTATTCTGCATGTCTTATATGGAACCATCTGCCTTTTGATATAAAGATGTGTAAAAATGTTGAAAATTTTAAGATTAAACTGAAAACTCATTTATTTTGCACACTGAAGGAACCATAATATTCAACTGATGACATACTTATTATTTTTAACTTGCAACTGCATTCTATTTTATTTTGTGTGTAATTATAGTGTTCTTCCTATATTCTACTTGTATAATGTATATGTTTTGTAGTTTGGGAGTGACTTATCAAACTTCCCACTTTAAAATGCTATTGCATTTCTAATGATTTTAAATTTATCCTGATATTACATGTATATATGTCTTTGTAGTTTAGGAGGGACCTATGGAAGATTAGTTTTTTTTTTGCAAACTAAATACGTTGCCTCATTAAATAAAGTTTTTATTGTCCCCCGCCTTTCGAAGAAAGCAGGGGACTATTAAAATGGGTTCGTCCGTCTGTCTGTCCGTCTGTCTGTCCGTCTGTCTGTCCGTCTGTCCGTCCGTCTGTCTGTCCGTCACACTTTTTGGGACACAATAACTCTCTTCCTAATTGAGCTAGAATGTTCAAACTTGGTGTATGTGTTTATTAGGTCAATGCCTTGATGGAGTTCGAAGATGAGCATTTTCCGCTTAGGGTAAGCAGAGATAAGCAATTTGATTGGTTGATGCTTTGGGACACGATAACTCTCTTCCTAATTGGGCTAGAATGTTCAAACTTGGTGTATGTGTTGATTAGGTCAATGCCTTGATGGAGTTCGAAGATGAGCATTTTCCGCTTAGGGTAAGCAGAGATAAGCAATTTGATTGGTTGATGCTTTGGGACACGATAACTTTTAATTGAGCTAGAATGTTCAAACTTGGTGTATGTGTTTATTAGGTCAATGCCTTGATGGAGTTCGAAGATGAGCATTTTCCGCTTAGGGTAAGCAGAGATAAGCAATTTGATTGGTTGATACTTTGGGGCACGATAACTCTTTTCCTAATTGAGCTAGAATGTTCAAACTTGGTGTATGTGTTGATTAGGTCAATGCCTTGATGGAGTTCGAAGATGAGCATTTTCCGCTTAGGGTAAGCAGAGATAAGCAATTTGATTGGTTGATGCTTTGGGACACGATAACTTTAGTTCTAATTAAGTGAGATTGATGAAACTTGGTGTATAGTTTCATTACAGTAATACCTTGACTAAGTTTGATAATGAGCATTTTCTGCTCAGGGTAAGCAGCAATTTGATTGGTTGATACTTTGGGGCACGATAACTCTCTTCCTAATTGAGCTAGAATGTTCAAACTTGGTGTATGTGTTGAATAGGTCAATGCCTTGATGGAGTTCGAAGATGAGCATTTTCCGCTTAGGGTAAGCAGAGATAAGCAATTTGATTGGTTGATGCTTTGGGACACGATAACTTTAGTTCTAATTAAGTGAGATTGATGAAACTTGGTGTATAGTTTCATTACAGTAATACCTTGACTAAGTTTGATAATGAGCATTTTCTGCTCAGGGTAAGCAGAGCGATACGCAATTTCATTGGTCGAGACTTTGGAAAACAATAACTCTCCTACTTTGATTGTTAGACTATAAGTAAAGATATACTGTTTGATTGTTCAATACTTTGTAAAAGATAATTTGTGATAAATTTATATGTGTCCTCTAATTATTTTCCTATTTCGGCGGGGGACATCAGCCTCACTGTTGGCTTGTTATTATTATTATGTTACTCTTAATCAGATTTTTATGTATTATAAATGTTTCATTACCGAAAAAAGTAAAAATATGCGAAAACTCATGTTGACTTCCCGGACGATTTAGCTGCTATTGGCGTATGTTTTGTTGCCTGGCAACCTATCTTTGTTTAGCTTGTTCTCTATCCATCTCTTGCAAAATGTGGGCCTGGGCGTATCCTGCCTTGCAGCCACTGGATTTCGATTTTTTTACCTTCATTCGTATATAAGACGAAGAGTGGAAGGCCGGACTTCAGCAGAAAAAAAGTATCGACTTATACCCCGAAAAATACGGTAGTTGAACATAGTGAACGACCAAAGTTATCATCTGATCTGTGTGAAATTTATATGCATAATTCAAATTATTGTAACAAAGAATCTTATTAAATTTCAGCAATTTCCGTTAATTACATATTGTATGCATTTTGTTCAGATATTATTTATAATTGATGAATTTTTAAAACTTATTGTGATATTACTTTTTGTACGTCCAAATTGAAATGTGGTCGTATATTGTTGTTGCCCCCATCCGTCCGTCAGTTGTTCCAGCATCCACAATTGTTTGTGGACGCTCTAAAGGCTAAAATTAATATCTGATTGACTTCGAATTCGTATACAGTGTTTAAGGTCATAAGACGAAGAATCCTATTGATTTTGAATGATTTCCAATAATTACTTCCAGAGTTATGGCCCTTGATATGAAGTGTTTTGTATACTAATCATTAGTATAGGGCAGAACTAGAAGCCAAGCAAATTCTAATGATTTCTGATAATTCCTTTATGGGTTGTTTACTCGTAATCTGATTTTAGTGTGTTGTAAATGTTTTCATTACTGACAAATGAAAAAATATGTGACAACCCTTGTTGACTGCCTGGACGTCTTAGCTGCTGTGTGTGTATGTTTTGTTGCCTGGCAACCTATCCTAACTTTTTGCTGGGGCACTAAATTCATTTGATTTGTTTAATGAATATTCTGAATTCTTTAATTTCAGGAGGGTGAAGTGTTGGAATGTTCTCAAGTAAATGATATCCGACTTGGACTGGCTCCTAAAATAAATGTAAGTTCATTTTGGAAAATGAGGTTTTCTTTTGAAAGAATAAAATCTATCAGAACCAACTTTACTTGAAGCCAATGATTTTCAGTTCCTTACTAAAGGATGTGATTTAATTGATTTTTGCCATTCCTAATCAACTTCCTGTTAATAGTCAGAACATTGTTTGACGTCCGTAAGCTTGAAAATCTTTTTAAGGAAGACAGGATTGAGGAGATGAAAATACTTGTTGCTATATTTTTTGACTTGGCTTATTCATGTTTTCCACAACTGTCTTATAATAAAGTTTAATGCGCTAAAATGATAGATTTTGACAAACATGTATACTACCATAAGAAACAAGGCCTGATTTATTTTATATACGCCCACATTGAAATGTGGTCGTATATTGTTGTTGGCCCCGTCCGTCCGTCCGGTGTCCACAATTGCTTGTGGACGCTCTATAGGCTAAAGTGAATATCCTATTGACTTTAAATTTATACACAGTGTTTAAGGTCATGAGACGAAGTAGCCTATTGATTTTCAGCGATTTCCAATAATTACTGCCAGAGTTATGGCCCTTGATCACTTTGAAAAATCTTGAGGACGCTCTAGAGGCTAAAGTTATCATCCGATTGACTTCAGATTGATACACAGAGTTAAAGGTCTTGAGACAAACAAATATATTGATTTTCAATGAATTTTTTTGACTTGAACAGCTAAATCCATGATGTTAAAAGTTTCGTATACTAAACGTTAGCATGGGGCAGAACTGTATAAAAACCAAACAAATTCTAATGGTTTTCTGATAATTACTTAATGAGTTGTTACTCTTAATCAGATTTTAATGTACTGTAGAACTTGCTCGGGCGTGCACCCCTAATCAGCGAACACTTGCTTCAACGAGCACCAAAAAATCTCCCCAAGCGATTTTTAAGTAATTTAACCCCTACTAAACACGCACCTGTTCAACGCGTGCAACGGGCATCACGATTAATTCTCCCCCTTAACTCATTGACCCCTAGACTTAACTCATTATCTACTACTGTCTCTCCCTAAGCCAATTAACTAGACAATAGCTTATCTCCCTGGAGCTAATTAAAGGATTATCCATTAATCCAATATATTGCAGAGAACACAAAATAACACACAAACTATTGGTGTGTTCCCACTTAGCCGGCAGACTGTTAATCCTTTGATTGATCTTAAAACTATAGTCTGTTTAAAAGTAATCACTCAAGAACTATTCACTAGTGTTCAGCGTTAATGAGCTCTTAAAAGGCCTCGACTTAAGAAATATTGACAACTTGATACAAGAATTGAACATTTGAAAACACAGTTATTAAATGGCTCTTTAAGTGTAAATCGGTATGAAACAAATATTTCCAATTTAGTGGGGCTGTAAAATGATTGTTATGTTGTATGGCATTTATTTATAAATTATATAATGCTATTTAATAAAAGTTAAAAGTGTAAATTGTAATGCAGTTTTATATGTGTAAATCATTTAATGTTATTTAATAAATATTAAATTTGTTAAAATCAATATATTTTTATGTGTAAGCTATTTAATGTTATTTAATAAAAGTTAAATTTGTTAAAATCAATACAGTTTTAGTCTTAAAAAAGATATGGACTAAAGTTTATAACACCATTGTTCTAGGATTAACTCTGAATTTGCGGCAAAATTTGACATCAAAGCCTGTCGGCTAAGTGGGAACACCCCAAACTATTATTCAAGTCAAAAAATGTTCATATATTTAAATGAAGATATATAATTGGGCATCAAAATGGTCTAACTTTTAAGCACTAATACAAAGTAACAACAAAGTAATTCTTTATTTAAATTCAACAATGTTTAGCACACGCACATTGTACAACAGGCCATAGCATGCTTCCGTAGGCATTCGTCTAATTGACGATCAAAATATGCAAGATTTACTACAATGAGCAAATTAAAAAATCCAACTATTTTTATCCTCATTTAAATGTCCTAAAAATGTTGAAAAAATCACTGAATTTAACTTAGTTTGCTGAACAAAGTCGGTATTCTATTCGCCGACCACGGGCCGACATTTTGATTTTTTTTTTCGTAGTAAGTCGTATCTGGGTCATCTTCTTCTCCGTTTATAATCCCGGAAAAAACAATTTCCCAAACACTATTGAGATTAATATTCACATCTATAATATTCACGAATAGTGGCTGCCATTTTTGGTACGCCGTTTATCACGTATATCTTCTTCTCTATTTCATATCTCGGAAAAATCACTTTCCCCGGAACATTTGTCATTACTGAGATTAATATTCACATGTAAATAAATATCCTTTGCTAAAATTCCTTCAAATTCTGAATCGGGATCACTTTCCATAGCAAAGAAATTATTAGATGAACGAGCGTGAAAATATTAAACTTGCGTACAAAATGGCTCCCTATGACACGAATTTTCTCGAGAGTTCACGACCTTATAACCCCGAAACCATTGATGTGACGTATATGTTTTATGATTTCAATCATTAGTTCAAACTATACACTTTTGGAAAGCCAATCGTCTTTTTTTTTTAAACTTTATTGATCAATAAAACAATATATCAGAAAGGCTGGCAGAGTTTACGACCTTTATAACCCCTAAACCGTTGATGTGACCTACAAATTTTATGATTCCAGTAATTAGTTCAAACTATATATTTATTGGATAACTACTTTTTGGAAGCCAATTGGCCTTTTTTGATAACTTTCTTGATCAATAAAACATTTACGTCAAAGAGGCCGACAACAGTCGTCGTTAGGAAAAGTGACTAGACATTAGGTAGTTGACAGGTCGCGTAAGTCGGTGAAATTCAGTAGCTAATTAAAAATTCTACTGTTTCATTGGTCACTCCTCTAACGCGGCCAGCGGTCACTATTTTACTAATAAATTCAACAAAACATCGCCCATTCAACGGCCATTGTTGAATGATACCATCTTGTCGTTCTTTCTTTGTAACACTCCCGCTAATCCTGTGAAAAGTAGTTAAAAAACTGGATCCCCACTGATCAGGTAAAAAGAAATGTTAAAATAACAATCAACCCCAGATTATCTGATTATTAATCTTTTGTTTTATTAAACGGCTAACCTGGTCATTGTTTTCACGCGTAACGACACATTATTTGATACTGATTGAATAAAATGAAAGTACCGAGTTTTGTCACGATCATCTAGTATCTCTTTTCCATTGCCACTTTGTTGTTAAACAGTTGTTTTAGCGCCCCCTATAATATTACATACAGAGTTACACCCCCTGTAAATCGGTGATAAAATCAGCGATGGTTTTTTGTTCATGTGCTTTTTTGATAAATTAAAATTAATTCATCGATTTTTTTCACAAAAATGGATAAATATTATCGAATGCATCACAATGGTAGACAGTAGTATTGAAGGTTGGTACAAAATGACAAGTTTACAGAAGTTATGTTCGAGATTTGAGTAAAGAATTTTCGTTCGGCGCAAGATTCAGCGACGGTCAAATTTATGGATGCAAGTATTGATGTTCGCTCCCAATGCACCCAAGCGTAATTAATTTATGTCATCACAAAAAGCGCTGAGATTTTATTAGGTGGTCGCGTAATTGCTAACCTCTAGTCAAAGAGCACCTCCATTAAGCAAGCATTTTTAAATTTCCCTTGGGTGCTTGCTTAATACAAGTTCTACTGTATTATAAATGTTTCATACCGAAAAAAGTAAAAATATGCGACAACTCTTTTTGACTGCCCGGACGATATAGCTGCTGTGGGCGTCAGTGATGGGATTTCAAAGAAATTATTGTCGGACATTTTTTCCCGAAAATAAAGGGGCATAACTCTTATCGTAATTTAAGCAGACGTTTTCAAAACACAATAAAGAATAACATGTCAACAAAATATATTCAAATTCATATATAAAAAAAAAATAGGTGCACCTCGTTATATTTCATGTTTAAAAACCCGTACGGTATTCAAATTTATGTCAATAATATTCCTACAAAATCAATACTATAGAATGGCAGCGTGCCGACTGCTGCCGATCTGTTTCAAACTCCCCCAAAATTACCGTATTTTTCGGGTCATACGTCGGTACATTTTTCAGCAAAGTCCGACATTCGTCTGATACTCCGTTTCGATTTATATACGGAAGGTAAAAAAATGACATCCCAAAATTTATTTGGCCGTAAACCGTAGTCAACGACGCTCTAATACAACGAGCGTGTCACACCAACTGCTAAATAATTGCAGTCGACTGTAGCACGCGCTATCGTCTAAAACAATTAACTACTTACGTCATTCCAATCGAAATATTCGTCAACATTTCTTAGCGTGTTTATTTATTTATTTATTTATTTAAAGACATAAACCCCCTTCAAAATATGATCATAAATCCGACAATATGCCATCAAAATAGAATCTTTTCCCGGACATCGGTCGTATTGGACTCGGCACGTATACACCTTTTAGTTTCACGTGTCTCGCGAGATTTGTACTTTCATTTTAATTACTGAACTATAGCGCCATATGCGTGTGTGTGAAATATCTTTATTTAACTTCGGCTTTCACCGAAAATATATCACAGACAAGTTATCGGATACAATGTATGTTGATTTGAGGTGTTATATACTATCAGGATATGTGACATATATGACTAATTTCTACGTGTTATTGTCCGACACAAAGGAGATTAAAACGTGAGACAATGGACAAATCACAGGTTAATCAGATTAAGTTTATAATCACTCTTATTGGATTGATATATCGTCCGACAAAGGAGAAGCAATGACATCTGTTCAGGATTGATTTGATGAATTGTCCGACAAAGGATTAAGTCAGCCAATCAAGGCAGAATAGTAGTTAATCAAGGTAGGTGTGTAGACGACATAACACGATAAATAGTCGATCACTTAATTACCTAATCAATCCAGCCAATTATCAACGATAATCGGGTTGCATGGTAGTTATACACTCAGTACACTATATTAATTTTGGAATTTGAATATTATTCACCATGTCTTGATGTCCGATTGGGCATATTCCCGGTCGGACAATTTTGGGCGATTTGAAAAAAGATTCGGACAAGTCCGGAATATACGGGCGTATGTTTCGTTGCCTGGCAACCTATCTTTACAATTTCTCCCATGTACATATTTGAAGTTAGCTGTGAATTGGCAGTAGTATTGTTTGCAACATGTCATGTTCTTGTCTTCGTTTGTAAATAAATTTACAAATATATGATGATGATTGCCGGTCACAGTGTGCCACCAATGTTTTACAATTAATTTCTCGTACATATTACTTATTGTGTTTTAATCAGTATTCAGTAATTAAGTGAGAGTGATGAAATTTGGTGTATACATAGTTTTATTACATCAATACCTTGACTAAGTTCGATAATGAGCATTTTCTGCTCAGGGTAAGCAGAGCGATAAGCAATTTGATTGGTCGAGAATTTGGATCACAATAACTCTCCTTCTAATTGAGCTTGAATGTTCAAACTTGGTGCAGGTGTTTATTAGGTGAATGCCTTGATAGAGTTCGAAGATAAGGATTTCCTGCTTAAGGTAAGCAGAGATAAGCAATTTGATTGGTTGATGTTTTGGGACACAATCCCTAATTAAGTGAGAGTGAGGACACTTGGTGTATAGTTTTATCACATCAATACCTTGACTAAGTTCGATAGTGAGCATTTTCTGTTCAGGGTAAGCAGAGCGATAAGGAATTTGATTGGTCGAGACTTTGCAACACAATAACCCTCTTTCTAATTGAGGTAGAATGTTCAAACTTGGTGTAGGCATTCATTAGGTGAACGCCTTGATGGAGTTCAATGTTCAACATTGTCCACTTACTGTAAGCAGAGCTAAGCAATCTGATTGGTTGATACTTTAGGGCACGATAACTTTGGTTATAATTAAGTGAGAGTGATGAAACTCAGAGTATAGATTCATTATATCATTACCTTGACTAAGTTCGATGATGAGAATTTTCTGCTTAGACTAAGGAGCGATAAGCATTTTGATTGGTCTAGACTTTGGAACGTAATAACTCTACTTTTAATTGAGGTAAAATTGGTGTATAGTTTTATCACATCAATACCTTGACTAAGTTCGATAGTGAGCATTTTCTGTTCAGGGTAAGCAGAGCGATAAGGAATTTGATTGGTCGAGACTTTGCAACACAATAACCCTCTTTCTAATTGAGGTAGAATGTTCAAACTTGGTGTAGGCATTCATTAGGTGAACGCCTTGATGGAGTTCAATGTTCAACATTGTCCACTTACTGTAAGCAGAGCTAAGCAATCTGATTGGTTGATACTTAACCAATAATTAAGTGAGAGTGATGAAACTCAGAGTATAGATTCATTATATCATTACCTTGACTAAGTTCGATGATGAGAATTTTCTGCTTAGACTAAGGAGCGATAAGCATTTTGATTGGTCTAGACTTTGGAACGTAATAACTCTACTTTTAATTGAGGTATAATGTTTAAACTTGATGTAGATGTTCATTAGGCGAATGTCTTAACTGAGTTCAATGATTAACATTTCGAGCTGAAGCTAAGTAGAGCTAAGCAATTTCATTGGTCGATGCTTTGGGACAAGATAATTTTGATTTTATCCGATAGAGGGTAATGAAACTTAGTGTATAGTTGATAAACAGTTTGATTGCTTGATACTTTTGAAAAAAATAAATGTGCGATTAATTAATATGTGTCATCTATTTATTTTGGGATTTCAGCGGGGGACATCAGCCTCACTTTTGGCTTGTTTATTCCCTGCTGGACAAAAAATATTTGGTCAAGCACATTTGATGTCTTAGACAATATTGATATGTAATTTTGAAATCAATTGTTATACCGTCAACTATTAGTCCACCTGTTATTGTCCCCCGTCTTTCGAAGAAAGCAGGGGACTATTAAAATGGGTTCGTCCGTCTGTCTGTCTGTCTGTCTGTCCGTCACACTATTTGGGACACAATAACTCTCCTCCTAATTGACCTAGAATGTTCAAACTTGGTGTAGGTGTTTATTAGGTCAATGCCTTGATGGAGTTCGAAGATGAGCATTTTCAGCTTAGGGTAAGCAGAGATAAGCAATTTGATTGGTTGATGCTTTGGGACACGATAACTTTAGTTCTTATTAAGTGAGAAAGATGAAACTTGCTGTATAGTTTCATTACATCAATACCGTGACTAAGTTCGATAATGAGCATTTTCTGCTCAGGGTAAGCAGAGCGATAAGCAATTTGATTGGTCGAGACTTTGGAACACAATAATCCTCCTTCTAATTGAGCTAGAATGTTCAAACTTGGTGTAGGTGTTTATTAGGTCAATGCCTTGATGGAGTGTGAAGATCAGCATGTTCTGCTTAGGGTAAGCAAAGATAAGCAATTTGATTGGTTGATGTTTTGGGACACGATAACTTTAGTTCCAATTAAGTGAGAGTGATGAAACTTGGTGTATAGTTTCATTACATCAATACCTTGACTAAGTTCGATGATGAGCATTTACTGCTCAGGGTAAGCAGAGCGATAAGCAATTTGATTGGTCGAGAATTTGGAACACAATAACCCTCCTTCTAAAGTTCTAATTGAGCTAGAATGTTCAAACTTGGTGTAGGTGTTTATTAGGTCAATGTCTTGATGGAGTGTGAAGATAAGCATTTTCTGCTTAGGGTAAGCAGAGATAAGCAATTTGATTGGTTGATGCTTTGAGACACGATAACTTTAGTTCCAGATTACGTGAGAGTGATGAAACTTGGTGTATAGTTTCATTACATCAATATCTTGACTAAGTTCGATAATGAGCATTTTCTGCTCAGGGTAAGCAGAGCGATAAGCAATTTGATTGGTCGAGACTTTGGAACACAATAACTCTCCTTCTAATTAAGCTTGGATGTTCAAACTTGGTGTAGGTGTTTATTAGGTCAATGCCTTGATGGAGTGTGAAGCAGGGTAAGCAGAGCGATAAGCAATTTGATTGGTCGAGAATTTGGAACACAATAACCCTCCTTCTAAAGTTCTAATTGAGCTAGAATGTTCAAACTTGGTGTAGGTGTTTATTAGGTCAATGTCTTGATGGAGTGTGAAGATAAGCATTTTCTGCTTCGGGTAAGCAGAGATAAGCAATTTGATTGGTTGATGCTTTGAGACACGATAACTTTAGTTCCAATTAAGTGAGAGTGATGAAACTTGGTGTATTGTTTCATTACATCAATACCTTGACTAAGTTCGATGATGAGCATTTTCTGCTCAGGGTAAGCAGAGCGATAAGCAATTTGATTGGTCGAGACTTTGGAATACAATAACCCTCCTTCTAAAGTTCTAATTGAGCTAGAATGTTCAAACTTGGTGTAGGTGTTTATTAGGTCAATGTCTTGATGGAGTGTGAAGATAAGCATTTTCTGCTTAGGGTAAGCAGAGATAAGCAATTTGATTGGTTGATGCTTTGAGACACGATAACTTTAGTTCCACTTACGTGAGAGTGATGAAACTTGGTGTATAGTTTCATTACATCAATATCTTGACTTAGTTCGATGATGAGCATTTTCTGCTCATGGTAAGCAGAGGGATAAGCAATTTGATTGGCCGAGACTTTGGAACACAATAACTCTCCTTCTAATTAAGCTTGGATGTTCAAACTTGGTGTAGGGGTTTATGAAGTCAATGCCTTGATGGAGTGCGAAGATCGGCATTTTCGGCTTAGGGTAAGCAGAGATAAGCAATTTGACTGGTTGATGCTTTGGAACACGATAAATTTGGTTCTAATAAACTGAGATTGATGAAACTTGGTGTATAGTTTCATTACATCAATACCTTGACTAAGTTTGATGATGAGAATTTTCTGCTTAGGCTAACGAGCAGTAAGCAGGTTTGATTGTCAAGACTTTGGAACATAACAACTTTTCTTCTAATTGAGGTAGAAGGTTTAAACTTGATGTAGATGTTCGTCTTGACTGAGTTCAATGATTAACATATCGAGCTAAAGCTAAGCAGAGATATGCAATTTCCTGCTTTGGGACAAGATAACTTTGATTCTATCTTATAGAGAGTGATGAAACTTAGTGTATAGTTGATAATCAGTTTGATTGCTTGATACTTTGGAAAAAAAAACAGATGTGCGATTAATTAATATGTGTCATCTATTTATTTGGGGATTTCGGCGGGGGACATCAGCCTCACTGTTGGCTTGTTATCACTGCAGCACAAAGATTACATGTAATGATGGATGTAAAGTGATACAAGAAATATTGATTACTGTTCTCTAAGCTTCTATGTATTTTCTTTTTATTTCAGGATTTGAAAGCAATTGCTGAACTTGAACAAAGAGGTTCGGGAACATTAGAATCTCGTACTGTAACAATATGCAGTGGTTTGGATCTTGTAAATATAACTTATACACCTATGATAGCAAGAGATGCAGAAACAGCAAAGGTACATTTTAATGTGGTGTTTATTATCAAATTATGTAACACACAATATGTCATTGCTTTATTTGATAGTTTCTAGTACAGTTCCTTAAATTGAGTCACAGTACATATCATAAGCATAACATTTTTTGAGCAGTAACTGATTTAGAACAATAAGTATTATACACATGACATATTATGGTATTTAGAATAAAAGACCAACCATTTATAGGCAACATAAATTGGCATGTTATTCAGGATTCGAATAATGAGCCAGCTCAGTATGTGGGATTCATGAATAACGAATAACGAGCCAGCACGTTATTCAGGATTCGGCACTAAAACAGACCGGCCTACCTTGCATCCGACCATTTTTTTGCTACCTTTGACAGTAGGGGTAAGTGAACGTTTGTCAAGCGAGTATGGTGTTGAATGGTTTGTTGGAGTGCACAGGGCAGTCCTCTCCAACAGTCACCTGCTTGATTGAAACAGACCGTTCTATCTTCCATCCGACCATTTCCTTGCTACCTCCGACCGTAGAGGTGTAAAACGTTGGGTGGCCGACTAGCATGGAGATGACCGTTTGTCAAGCGAGTAGGTGTTGACTGGTTTGTTGGAGTGCACGGGGCAGTCCCCTCCAGCAGTCACCTGTTTTACTACCAAACCCTTGAATCCCGAATAACGAGCCAGCACGTTATTCATGTTCGGGATTCGTCAGTAAAACAGACCGGCCTATCTTCCATCCGACCATTTCTTCCCACTGTCGGGGTAAGTGAATGTTGGGTGACCGACTAGCAAGCAGGCGACCGTTTTTCAACCGAGTAGGGTGTTGACCCGTTTGTTCGTGTGCACAGGGCAGTCTCCCCCGCACTCACCTATGTTATTCGCCAATAACGAATAATAAGCCAGCACGTTATTCGGGATTGGGGATTTGGCAGTACAACAGACAAACTTATCTTGCATTCGACCATTCCCTCACTAACCCCGGCCGTAACGACAGTACGATCAGCTGAGTCGTTATTCACGATTCGGCATTAAAACAGGTGACTGCTATGTGCACTCCAACAAACCAGTCAGCACCCTACTCGCTTGACAAATGGTCGTCTCCGTGCTAGTTGGCCTGCAACATTCACTTACTCCTACTGTCAGAGGTAGCGAGGAAATGGTCAGATGCAAGGTAAGCCGATCTGTTTTAGTGCTGAATCCCAAATTAACGTGCTGACTTGTTATTCGTTTTTCCTGAATCCCGAATCCTGAATAACGTGCCAACTTCACGTTGCCATTTATATTAATTAAAACAACAGCCTATACCCTATTGTAGATCAACACCATTTCAGTGCCATCATGTTACTCGATATTCACATAATGATATATACACTTGATAAATTATACCCAGTTTCATAGAAAAGTTGTAATAAGCATACTGTAGTGTAGTTGCTCATTAATAAATTATAAATAAGTTATATTGTATATTTATTATAGGTATGGGTCGAAGGATTACGTAGTATTACATTAAATATAAAAGCTAATAATGTATGTCCTATGACCCAACTTAAAAAACAGTAAGTTTATCACAAGTACATGTATACACATTACTTTTTCATACGCCCAGGTCGCCTCCGTCCGTCTACAATTTTTTGTGAACATTCTACAGACTACATTTATCATCTGTTTGTTTTGAAATTGATATATGTTGTTTGCATTAGTGAGATGAAGAAGCCTATTTAATTTCAATAACTTCCGTTAATTTCTTCTGGAGTTATGGCCCTTTTTTCACTTTGTTGCATCTTGTGAACGCTCTAACGACAAAAGTTATCAACCAATCTGTATGAAATTTATATGCATCATTTAAATTAGTAAAACAAAGAAGTCTATTGAATTTCAGCAATTTCCATTTATCACATCTAGAGTTATGGCCCTTGTTTCACTTTGTTGAATCTTGTGAACGCTCTAATGACAAAAGTTATCAACCGATCTGTATGAAATTTATATGCATCATTTAAATTAGTAAAACAAAGAAGCCTATTGAATTTCAGCAATTTCTAGAGTTATGGTCCTTGTTTCACTTTGTTGAATCTTGTGAACGTTCTAATGACAACAGTTATCATCCAATCTGTTTGAAGTTAATATGCATCATTTAAATTAGTGAAACGAAGAAGCCTATTGAATTTCAGCAATTTCCATTAATTACGCCGTGAGTTAGGCCCTTGTTTCACTTTTTTGTACTTTGTAAATGCTCTAACGACAAAAGTTATTATCCGATCTGTATGAAATTTATATGTATCATTTAAATTAGTAAAACGAACAAGCCTATTGAGTTTCAGCAAATTTCCGTTAATTACATCTAGAGTTATGGCCCTTGATTTACTTTGTTGAACTTTGTGAACGTTCGAACGACAAAAGTTATCAGCCGATCTGTATGAAATTTATATGCATTATTTGAATTAGTAAAATGAAAAAGCCTGTCGAATTTGAACAATTTCTGTAGATTACTTCCACAGTTACGGCCCTTGTTTTAGTTTTTAGAACCTTGTGAACCCTCAAACGACGAAAATTATAATGTTATCTCTATGAAATTGTCTATTAAATTCCCCTAATTACCTACAAAGGAATAAATATGTGACAACCCTTGTCAACTGCTCGGACGATTTAGCTGCTGTGGGTGTATGTTTTGTTGCCTGGCAACCTATCTTTCTTGTCCTTTAAAATGATGAAGCTGGTAAATATGTACCGATACTAAAATACAATCCGTTCTCCTTAATTGGTAGGATTTAAATTAATTCAATATTTACCTTAGAAAGTATTTGTAGCTTCCTTTTTATACGCCCACATTTTCATGTAGACGTATATTGTCGTTGCCCCTGTCTGTCCGTCCATCCACAATTGTTTGTGAACAGTCTACAGGTCACAATTTTTATACGCCCACATTTTCATGTGGACGTATTATGCCGTCGCCCCTGTCCGTCCGTCCACAATTGTTTGTGGACTCTCTACAGGTCACAATTCTTATCCGATTTCGACGAAACTTGAAATATAGGTTTATCCCCAAAAGATCTTGGCTGCTTTCGATTTGGCATGTATCGGTTCGAAACTTCATGGATTATGGCCCCTGTTTGTAAGAAAAATCACGTTTTTAGCTTGTGGACCCTATAGAGGTCACAATTTTTATCCGATTTTGTTGAAACTTGAAATGTAAGTTTATAACCCAAAGATCTCAGTTCCTTTCGATATTTACGCATATCGGACAGTAACTTCCTGAATTATGGCCCCTGATTGTACGAAAAATCACGTTTTTAGCTTGTCGACCCTATAGAAGTCATAATTTTTATCCGATTTAAAAAACATTCTATTATATCACCATTACACCCTAAGGATGACTGAGTTCGAATTTCGTGAAAATCGGCCTAAAATTGACAGACAAAATGGCAGCCGTTCGTTCCCAAATAGCGTAAGAATATGGTATATCAAGGTTGTGGACTCTATAGGGGTCACAATTTTTATCCGATTTTGTTGAAACTTGAAATGTAAGTTTATAACCCAAAGATCTTGGTTCCTTTCGATATTCGCACATATCGGACCGTAACTTCCTGAATTATGGCCCTTGATTGTACGAAAAATTGCGTTTTTAGCTTGTGGATTCTATAGAGGTCATAATTTTTATTCGATTTAAAAAAACGTATTATTATATCACCGTTACACCCTGAGGACGACTGAGTTCAAATTTCGTGAAAATCGGCCCGAAATTGACAGACAAAATCGCTGCCGTTCGTTCATATATGCGCATATCGAATTGTAATTTCCTGAATTATGGCCCTTGATTGTAGGAAAAATCACTTTCTTGTTAGCTTGTTCTCTATCCATCTCTCGAAAATGTGGGCGTTTCCTGCCTGGCAGCCATTGGTTATCCGATTTCAATGAAACTTGAAATGTAGGTTTATCACCCTAAGATCTCGGTTCCTTTCGATATTGGCATGTATCGGACCGTAACTACGTGGATTATGGCCCCTGATTGTACGAAAAATCACGTTTTCAGCTTGTGAACACTGTGGAGGTCACAATTTTTATCCGATTTGGTTTAAACTTGAAATGTATGCTTATACCCCAAAGATCTCGGTTCCTTTCGATATTCGCGCATATTGGACCATAACTTCCTGAATTATGGTCCTTGATTGTAGGAAAAATCACTTTCTTTTTAGCTTGTTCTCTATCCATCTCTCGAAAATGTGGGCGTATCCTGCCTGGCAGCCGCTGGTCAATCAGTAAGATTAATCTTAAATGGTTGGACGATTTACCCAATACCACCCAATACCACCTCAATATCACCACATACTACCCAATACTACAACATAATGATGCAAAATAGACATATCATTTGATTTTTATACGCCCACATTATATATTGTCGTCGCCCATGTCCGTCAACAGCTGTTTGTGGACTCGCTACAGGTCACAATTCTTATCCGATTTTGACGAAACTTGAAATATTGGTTTATCCCCAAAAGATCTTGGTTGCTTTCGATATTGGCATGTATCGGATTGAAACTTCATGGATTATGGCCCCTGATTGTACGAAAAATCACGGTTTTAGCTTGTGGAACCTATAGAGGTCACAATTTTGAACTGATTTTGATGAAACTTGACATGCATGTTTATAACCCAAAGATCTTTGTTCCTTTCGATATTTGCGCCCATCGGAATGTAACTTCCTGAATTATGGCCCCTGATTGTCCGAAAAATCGCCTTTTTATACGCCCACATTGTAATGTGGACGTATATTGCCGTCGGTCCTTCCATCCATCGTCCACAATTTCTTGTGAACGCTCTAACGCCAAAAGTTATCATCCAATTGTTTTAAAATTGATATATGTTGTTTACATTAGTAAGATGAAAAAGCCTATTTAATTTCAATAATTTCCGTTTATTACGTCTAGAGTTATGGCCCTTGTTTCACTTTGTTGAACCTTGTGAAGGCTCTAATGCCAAAAGTTAACATACGATCTTTGTGAAATTTATATGCAATATTTAAGTAAGTGAAACGAAGAAGCCTATTGAATATAAACAATTTCTGTTTATTACGTCTAGAGTTATGGCCCTTGTTTCACTTTATTGAACCTTGTGAACGCTCTAACTCCAAAAGTTATCATCTGATCTTTCTGACATTTACATGCATTATTTAAATTAGTAAAACGAAGAAGCGTCAGCAATTTCCGGTTATTACGCCTAGAGTTATGGCCCTTGTTTCACTTATTGAACCTTGTGAACGCTCTAACGCCAAAAGTTATCACCCGATCTTTGTGAAATTTATATGCATGATTTAGATTAGTGAAACGAAGAAGCCTATTGAATTTCAGCAATTCCAGTTTATTACGTCTAGAGTTATGGCCATTGTTTCACTTTATTAATCCTTGTGAATGCTCTAACGTCAAAAGTTATCATCCGATCTTTCTGAAACTTATATGCATTATTAAGATTACTGAAACGAAGAAGCCTATTGAATTTCAGTAATTTCCGTTTATTACGTCTAGAGTTATGCCCCTTTTTTCATTTTATTGATCCTTGTGACTGAAAAAGCCTATTAAATTCCAGCAATTTACAATAATTACTTCTAGAGTTATTGCCCTTGTTTTACTTTGTTAAACCTTGTTAATGCTCGATTGATGAAAGTTATCATCCGATATGTATGAAATTTTTATGCATCATTTAAATTTGTGAAACAGGTCTATTGAATTTCAGCAATTTCCGTCAATAATTTCTAGAGTTATGGCGATTGTGAAAGTTTGAATGACAAAAGTGATCATGTGATCTGTATGAAATTTATATGCATTATTTAAATTAGTAAAACCAACAATGCCTGTCAAATTTCAACAATTTCTGTAGATTACTTCCATAGTTGAGACCTTGTTTCAGTTTGTAGAAGCTTGTAAACCCTCAAACGACAAAATTTATGATCTGATCTGATTATTACTATTACCTACAAAGGAATAAATATGCGAGAACCCTTGTCGACAGCTCGGATGATTTAGCTGCTGTGGGCGTATGTTTTGTTGCCTGGCAACCTATCTTTTAGTTTGTTGTCTCTCTGGAGGTCATAAATTATCCGATTTAAAAAAAATTGTTTGATTATATCACTGTTACACTGTAATAATGGTTGAGTTTGAATTTCCTGAAAATCAAACCAAAACTGACGAACAAAATGGCCGCCGCGAATGGTGTAAAAATATTGTATATCAAGGTTGTGGACCCTGTAGAGGTCACAATTTTAATCTGATTTTGATGAAACTTGAAATGCAGGTTTATAACCCAAAGATCTTGCTTCCATTCGATATTTGCGCATATCCAATTATAACTTCATGAATTATGAGCCTTGATTGTAGGAAAAATCACTTTCATTTTAGCTTGTTCTCTATCCATCTCACGAAAATGTGGGCGTATCCTGCCAGGGAGCCGCTAGTTTTCAAAAATAGAGAGCTATATCGTGGGAAATGTACTTCAAATGGATACCGATGTCTGGCTGTTCCATTTGCCTCCCTATACCACCCAAAACAAGCTAGTAGTAACCCAA